TTGTAACCTTGTCCTCCCTGTTTAAAATGGACTTGATTGGTCCTCAATGAGTCAGCAGTCTTTTCCTCTTCTTCAAGTCAAAGAACTTAAAGGAATAGTTCACCCAAAAATGAACATTTGCTGAAAATTTACTCTCAGGCCATTCTAGATGTAGATGAGTTTGTCTTTTCATCAGAACATATCTGGATAAATTTAGCATTACATCACTTGCTCACCAATGGATACTCTGCAGTGAATGGGTGCCATCAGAATAAGAGTCCAAACAGCTGATAAAAGCATCACAATAATCTACAAGTAATCCACATGACTCCAGTCCATCAATTCACATCTTGTAAAGTGAAAAGCTGCTTATTTGTAATAAACAAATCCATTATTAAAATGTTAACTTCAAACCGTTCCTTCCAGATGTCCATAATATTGCTTTCTCCAGTGTAAAAGTCGTCTCATTTGAATCAGGAGAGAAATATGCACAGTTCAAGCACAGTTTACAAGCAAAAACAGTTCTAAACAAATATATAGGTGCATTTTGATGTAAGAGGACAACAGAGGATGGACTTTTTCACTGGAGGAAGTGTTATTATGGATTATAGACTGAAGCATTATGGCCAGAAGCAACGGTAAGTTAAAAACGTCTGACAGCACCCATTCAGTGCAGATGTAATGCTAAATTTCTCCAATGAAGAAACAAACTCATCTACATCTTTGATGGCCTGTGGGTGAGTCACTTGTCAGCAAGTTGTCATTATTGGGTGAACTGTCCCTTTAATGCCTTTGTGTAAGCGACCGCCAATAATGTGCTTACCGAGAAATGAGCAAAGGAGTTTGTCTTGAAGGGGCTTGTTGTGTTATTTTGTCTTGAAAATTCCCCAAACGCTCAGCTGGGTCTAGCCAAGGAGAGAGGCAGAGGACGAGTGCGCTGCTACAGCTGTTGTGGGGTCAGCAGTGCAGGGACGAGCAGGTGTTCTACCAAGGAAACCCACCTCTCGTGCTGACCTGGGGTCAGTCTGTTGTCAGTCTTGTAATGGCCTCCATGAGAACAGCAGTGCGCAGGGCTGTTCTTAGACCTGTGCTTGAGGAAGTTTCGTAAAGTGTCTCAAGTCTGGTTAAAGGAAGAAAACACGGCTGCTTGCTTTATTTTTAGTGCTGTCAAATAAAAGGTGTTACTGCTGATCTCTGAAATTACAATCTCATTAGATCTCATTACAACACAACAGCATGTTTTTGCTCTTTGAAATGAATTGCAATTAATTAGACTAATCATTATGCAGTGAAATACTGCAAGAAAACCTTCTGTTTATGTATCCCCTCTTTATTTGTTACTGAATCATTCGTTCAATTTTCTCATCTGACGTCTTTCTCATGCCCCCATCATTCTGCAAACTTGTCAATGCTCACTGGTGTGTTAAATCCGTTCTTAGTAAGCAGTTTTTGGATCGCTTCATACCTGTGCACACATCTATCCAGCAACATCAGTGTCTTATACCAGCTTTTTTAGAGGAAATTCTCATTGACGTCTTACATAAAATCAATTCACCCTTAATAGTTACAGATTTTGTAGCCACAGCAGTGAAAAGTTAATGTTAAAGCAAGCACTTTTCACTGTATGTGGGTCTTGAGTGTGTGTGTGTGTGTATGTGTGGTGCTCTGAAGAGGATTTTATGGTTCTGACTTGATTGCCACAGACTCAATCTTTCTTCTTACCCCTCTATTGTTTCCTCTCTCATCCATTTCTTAACTTTCTTCTTTTCCATCTTTCTTTACACTCAGGTTTCAAAATGAACACTCCATAAATGCCAAATTAGTGAGTAAAAATTGGCTATGGTGAATAAATGAATCAGCACTGTCACTACTCATGATCTGCAACATAATACATGGTTTAAATTGTTTCATTTGAATCGTGAGAATAATAGTCTGGCCCTTAATGATGTCAACTAAATAATAAGAGAAAAATATACTTTCTGAATAAAGTGAGTGCAAAATACAGTAAGGCCAGAAAGAAAGATAGAAAGAAAGATAGATAGATAGATAGATAGATAGATAGATAGATAGATAGATAGATAGATAGATAGATAGATAGATAGATAGATAGATAGATAGATAGATAGAAAGAAAGACACTATTAACTTACCCGTATGTTGTTTCGGCACTTATTTGGATCTGCATCATAATAAATGGTTGTACGTAATACATGAGAATACATAATCAATTGTTTGAATTAAATAATCTATGCTTTACAAAAAGCTTTACATTATTTTTAATAAAATAAAAAGAACAAATGTATGTTCATTCATCTGTTTGTTTGTTCATTCATTCATTCATTTTTAATTATTTATTTTAATTTAATTTTAAATCAACCGTTCTCATTCAGTATCTCATTCAGTATATTTTAATATTACTGAATTTTCTGAAATTTTCAGTAATCTGTCAATATTTACTCAACCCTTTGTTGTTTTAAACCCATATGCTGTTATAAACACAAAAGCAGGATTTTTTAAGTATCTTGATGTAGATTGTTTCTGTTCAACTATAGTTCATGTTCTCATCTGTAACGCTCCTTAAGGGACAACAAAAAGAGCAGTCCATATTATTTTCAAAGTCTGAAAAAGCATACTTTGTGTTCCACTGAAAAGCAAATGTGTGCAGATTTGGAATAATATGACTAAGTAAATAATGACGAGATACATATTTGTGAGCAAACTATCCCTTTAAATGTTAGTGGAAATGTTGTGCTTGTCTAAGAGGCTGATGAGGCAGCTCTCCTGTCAAAATGCCAGTCCTCCCTCCTGATTGCTAGGGGATTCAGAGGATTCAGCACACTCTCAAGCATCCAGCATCTTCTTTAACTTCATGCAACATAACATATCAAAAATCCTTCTGTAATAATCAGATTTCCCTAAATCGCACAATCCTAGATTAAAAAGGCAGGGGAGAGAGGGTAAAAAGAAAGTGAGAGAGACTGTGCTATGATGTGTAACACTTGTGTTTTTTTAAGCCAGTGAAAGAAAGTGGCTGAGCAGCAGTGAAGCAATGAGGAATGAAGACACTAAGTTATTCGGTGCACTCACTGAGCCTTGTGTGCTGCTCTGACACCTGCTGGAGGTTCAGAGCACTGCAAGATGGGAAAAACACAGCAGAGGTGGAATAAACTGCTAGAGGTCAACCTAATCCCTCTTCTCCTTTATGGAGAACAGATTTCCCTTCATGTTGAATAAGAAATGGTGGATGCCGCACACTGGTGGTGGATGAGGAGATACCCCCTGACAATGTAAAGCGCTTTGAGTGCCTAGAAAAGTGCTATATAAATGTAATGAATTATTATTATTATTATTATTATTATTAGGAAATAGCCATTTTTATGGTTTAATGCCACCTGATAAGGCTACACCGTAGATGATCTTAGTTTGCCCGCAAAGGGCCCAGGGTAACATTGCCTATGCAGGGGCTCCTAATTATTGTCAAATTGAGAGGAAGTCAGCAAGCATTACATGACTGTTTCTCAAGTGTTTTAGAAATTCCCTGCATCTAATTTTGTTGCACATAGGCACACACTCATACTCCATCATCTTCTGTCAGCTGGAAGCTCCAATTCAATTAAATTTGGCAATTAATTAATTGAAGTTGGCAGAGACTTGAGCTCTTTATAGTATAATGTCCAGTTCAAGCCTAGATGAAAGTAAAAAAGAAAAAAAAGTCTATTAAGAATTATTATAATCCTCCCATAAATGCAATAAAATTTTATTTTTGATTGTTGTATTTATATTAATTAATTTTTGTTATTATTTTAAGCTATAAGTTATTTTATATATATATATATATATATATATATATATATATATATATATATATATATATATATATATATATATATATATATATATATATATACGTATATAGTTAGTATTATATATAACTTAGTTATATATAAGTTAGTATAAGTTAGTATTTAAAATACTTCCTGTATTATAATAATATTTATATAATTATTATAATTAATGATGATGATGATGATGATCAAATTATTATTATTATTCATGAGATTTATTTATTTCATAGCACGCTTTAAGACAGGAGAAAATATCAAAACCATCAGGAAGATCAAAAGTGTAAATGACAATGATTTAATTTTTGCAAGTTGCAATTAAACCAGGTAAATTGTGAAAATGATTCTGTTTTATGAAGAAGACTTCATTTTAACTGAGCTCTTTACCATTAAAAGGTGCTTAATGTCAATTTCACGGACACCGAAAAAAATGTCCGTTACTAATTATTTTAATCTTCCCATAAATGCAAAAAGAAATATTATTCATTATTATATTAATGAATTTTATTCATAGTATTAAATAACTGCAAATAATATGCAATTAAACCAGGTAAATTATGAATCTGTTTTATGAAGAAGGCATAATTTTCCTTTGGTGACAGAGGGGAGAGTTTCAAAACAAATACATTATAGAGAAAGAGAGAGGGGAAGAGGAGTAAACCCCTTATTCAGCTGCTCTGCTCACCAGTCACACCAAGGATCCCAATCAATCCTGGAAATTGGTTTGTTCCCTGACAAGGTTACGAAATGACAGGCTGGTAGAAAGAGAAAGAAAGAGAGAGAGAGACCGATGGGATGGAAGGAGGGAAAGAATGAAAGAGAGATGTTGGTGTTTGCTTACTGACAGGCTGCTATCTCCAACGGGGGGATTCAGAGAGGCAGGGAGTTTGGCTGTGTTTGGGCTTGTGGCAGAGATTATACTGCAACATTTAACAGAACACATGTGCTCCATAAATATGTCATAAGAAAGTGTAGTGTAAATGGATTTCACTTTCTTCATTTACTGTTCTTCAGTATACACCACTACTGAAATTGAAATCTGAGGCCCATTTTCTTCCCGTCCCATGCATGCTGAACTCAGTGTACAGGTTACATATAAACATGCAATAACAGTCAGCACTTGCAGTCTGTTATTCTGGTTAACTCACTGTCTGTGTATTTGTGTGTATCTCTGTTACAGGAACATTTCACGCCAGAGTGCAAGTTTAAGGAGTGTGTGTTTGAGAACTATTATGTGACATACTCCTCGATCTTGTATCGTCAAACACAGTCGGGCCGGGCCTGGTACATTGGCATTAACCGGGATGGACAGGTCATGAAGGGAAATCGGGTCAAAAAGACTAAAGGAGCAGCCCATTTTCTGCCCAAGCTTATAGAGGGTATGTCTTTGTTTATAATAATAATAATAATAATTGATTTGTCATGTGTTGACAGTACATTGCAAAAGTTTGGTATGAGGAGTCTGGTGAGATTTTTGTTTTAATAGTTTTTTTAATTGTTATTATTATTATTTTTTTATGTTTGAAAGAAGTATATTATGCACACCAAAGCTGCATATATATTTTTAAAAAAATACAGTAAAAACTGTAATATTGAGGAAAAACTACTACAATGTAAAAATAACAGTTTTCTATTTTAAATTTGTTTTAAAATGTAATTTATTCCTATGACGGTAAAGTGTCACACAATTCTACAGAAATCACTCTAATATGCTGATGTGGTGCTTAAGAAAAATTTCCTCTTGTTATGTTGAAAGATTAATCATTAATATTTTTGTGGAATACATTTTGTTCAATATTCCTTGATGAATATAGAGTTTAAAATAATAGCATGTATTTGAAATTGAAACCTTTTGTAGCATTATACATGTCATTACTGTCACTTTTAATGAGCTTAATGCATCCTTGCTGAATAAAAGTATGAATTTCTTTAAAAAAATCTCACAGACCCAAAAATGGAGGTTCTGTCATCATTTAATAATGTTGTGCCAAACCAATATATGACTTTCTTTCTTCTGTGGAACATGAAGATATTAGTTAAGATGTTTCAAAAAATGTTGTCCATACAATGAAAGTCAATAGGGTCCAGTGTTGTTTTGGTAGAGGATGAGACAAAAAAAACTTTCATTGATTGTATGGACAAAAGAGCACAGAGACATTTTAAAAATGTCTTCTTTTGCATTCTGCAGATTCAGGTTTTGAATGAGGGTGAGTAAATGTGACAGAATTGTCTTTTTTGGGGGTGAACTGTGTCTTTAAGAGTTTTCTCCTGTCTCTCCAGTTGCCATGTACAGGGAACCATCACTACATGAAGTTGCTGAGCAAAGCCCGCCTAGAAAAACGGCCAAAACGTCAGACTCCCCCGTCCATAAAAACGGCAAGAAAGACCAAGTGCTTCCCGTCCCCACAGCCTCCTAGCGGCAGTAGAACAAACACTTTGTTTGCACGGACACACCATGAACGCCAACAGCGGCACAGGAGGTTTGGTACAAATAATGTTTGTAGTCCCTCCACCGACCCTCAGAACTTTGACATTTCCAACAATGCATCAGGGCTCAAAAGACCCTTGCCGACAGGTTTAATGCCCACTGCACTTTCTTTTGGTCTCTCCTGCTCCTTAATCAAAGGAATACTGAGCAATAATAAGCGCACTGGTCTGGGGTCAGAGTGTGACGGCGTCGCTTTTGTGAGAACAGCAACACCTAATAGAAAGGAGCATTGTCTTCCTCTCCTTTTTTAGTATTTCAAGAAGAAACACTTTTTCTTGTGAAGCAATTTGTGCTTGACATTTAAAGCCTCCATTTCCTTTGTTCAAGCATTCATAGATTCCACGAAAATCTTTTCTTTTCTTTTTTTCTTTTTTTTACAGAGATCCCCGTCATCTCTAAGCCTTGTTTGTAAGCTCCTCTCCCTTCTCTACCTCTTCTGCACTTTGATTAACTTGAGACACAGAGGCCATTTTCCACTTCACAACACAGGAAAAGCCCCATACACTCTTCCGGGGCCCATTAAGGATGCCGCCACATGCACACACACATACACAAACTAAATAACTAAATAAATAAAACTTACCCTCCTCCTAGAATGAGGATGTTTAGAGTCATTCAACCTTAGGCATTGCAAACCTTTTCTGTTCATCGGCTCCTGCGCTGATGAGTCTGCGGAGGCTGGACATGTGAGTGAGTGTGTGTGTGTGTGTGTGTGTGTGTGTGCGGTGAACAGTAATACAATATCATTTGTAAGATGACTCATAACAGAGGGAGTAGGGTGGCATTATTGTTTCTTTTTGTTATGATAAGTCATTGCTTTTCTCATTGCAATATGCCCAGAGAGCAATATCGGTACAGCCTGCATTCTTTCTTCTCTCTTTTTAGCATGTGTGTTGCTTTAGAGCAGGGTTTCTCAAAGTAGATATGCTGACTACTGAGGTTGCAAGTTTCCTAAAGTTCATGTCCCTACATTCAATTTTATTTAATTACATTTGCCTGAGAGCAAAGGCACTTTACCCAACCAAATGAAACAACACAAGTGCTGAAAAGGTCCAATTCTGCTTTATTTTCTTTTGGTAAAATTGGGGAATTGGACCCAAAAGGAATCATTTTGGGAACCCTTGCACTGAGAGTCCAAACAGACCTGTAACTTCTGACCTCCAGCTTTATTTGAGGTGTTGAGAATATCAGTATGTAAATGGAAATGTGTTTTAAGTGCTTCAAGGTTCCTGGTGACACATCGCACTTCTGACTTTGCAGTTATGTTTCTGATAATATTTTCATGCATATCACCTACATTATGGAAATATGATTTAGTAATACACTACCGCTCAAACTTTTGGGGCTGGTAAGATTTTTTTTATGTTCTTGAATGTCTCTTCCACTCACCAATGCAATTATTTGATGAAGTATACAGTATAGTGTACAGTAATATGCTACAATTAAAAAAAAACTATTTTAATACATTTTCAAACATAAATTATTCCTGTAATTGCTGCCATTACTCCGGTCTTCATTGTCACATGATCCTTTCAGAAATAATTCTAATATGTTCATTTGGTGTACAAAAACAAACAAACAAACCATTATAAACATTATTGTCAATGCTGAAAAAAGCTGTGCTGCTTAATATTTTGCTGCTTAATCTCATGCTACATTTTTTCAGGAGTCTTTGATTAATGGAAAATTCTAAAGAATAGTATTTTTATAGTAGTATTTTTTAGTATTTAGTACTACATTTTTTAATAGTATTTTGTTTTTGTAACAGTATAAAGGTCTTTATTGTTTAATGCTTCCTTGCTGAATAAAAGTTTTAATTTCTTTTAAAATATATATCTGACTGACCCCAAACTTTTAAATGGTAATGTATATAATATATATATATAATATAATTTTGGAGGTAGAAAATCTTCCTGATTTAAATGCATAATTATTAGGGTCCCTTGTAGAGAGTATTTTAGCTGGCTTTTTTAGTCTAATGTTTTTTGGCTCTAGTATTAGTTATATCAGAGCACATTCCCTGATTATATCTTCACTGTGATTTCAAGTGCAAAGCTTAAACAAAGTGCAAAAAAAATCAAACTTTTCTCCTGCTGAGTTGAATAATTTCTCATACCGTGCACCTGGTGTTGAGGAAATTATGTCTGTGATAATTATAGATTCAGTCCCCTGCAGCAATGCATTATTGGGAGAAACAAAGTTATTAAGACCAAAGTGGAAATAACTAAAGAAATTTTTGACTTTTGGAATATTTACTAAATTCTTCCACATTTATATCAGGATGACAATCTTTCCCATGATTACAGTTTCCCTACTGCAAATCACAGCAGCACCTGCAGGTATTTCACAATCCCCCATTACAGAAGTTGGTGTTTGTGGATAACGTCCCGAGCAGATTGTTTTTCAGAAGGACTGAATCAAAATGCTCTGCATCTCATAGCTTCTGGGTACACATCAATACGACTACATCTTGATTTTTCTTCATAAACTATCATTTGTTTTGTAGATTTGCAAGCAGTAATGTTCTTCTCAGACTACAGCATTTCTTAAGTCTTGCGTTGTCCACGGCTCATTTAAGTTTAAGCTTCAATATTATCTGAAGGGCTAATACTTAACGTTATGCAGGTCCATGTAATGCCGTAATCACAGACAAGAAAAACATTGACAGAGGCACTATAAGGCAATATAGTTCTGAATTATCAACTGGATGCCACACTGAAACAAAATCCAGCAGGCCAGACTGCAAAGGTTAAATAATGATAAAGGCAATGTCGTATGAAGTCACAATTGTGCTTTGATTAGCATCCCATGGTTTATTCATTCAGTTTAATAACAATTAGACCATGAAATTGATAGTTACTTTAAAATGTCTCACTTTTTCTAGCCTTTCTAACTTTTAAATGTCATGATAAGACTTGTGCTAACTTACTGACTCAAAAAAGGCTCTTGTATTTGAAAGGGCTTTCTAATCCAATACATGAGTATAAAAGGAGATATTACTACTGCTCTTTACTTCAAATATGTCTAATTGACACTTAACTTATGATTATAACATAAGGTTTGCTTTGGGTCAGTTTGAGCTGATTGTGAATTTGTTTACAACATAATGTTAGAAAAAAGAAAAGAAAATTAGTCCTTTTCTTTGCTTTGATTTATTTGGCATGCACATAAGGGCCAGATCGGGTGGTTTAACAATTATTTTAATGAAACCACTCTCTGTGCGCAGCTAAATGCTTCTCTCTCAATTTCGCTGCTATTTTTCAGTCATAAACTCAGAGGCCAGAAGATGAAAGCTAAGGGCTAATGCTTTTCAGAACAGCCAAGCTATTAAAACACTGTGCGTGTATACAAAGATAGAGAAGACCTTGTAAACTGCAATTTTCTAAATTTGCTAAACTGACATTTTTGTGCATCATATTAATTTGTTTCTTCATGTTTCTTTTTTTACTTTGTATGTCCTGGTCATGATGTCAAGTGTTTGTGTTGGCCATCACTTTTCCATATGTCTTTCACTGCGTTCTATAGTGAATCTGTCTGTTCATTTGAATTTGCGTGTTCACCAGTCGCTCTAGAATCATACAGGTACTTCAGCTGATGAGTATTTGGAGCTCAGGGTCATAAAGACATTAAATAGTGTTATGTTGGGTTATGGGATAGAGTTAGTCTGTGCAGTAATAATTAGCTTTTAACAGACAATTAGCAGACTGATCTTTCTCTACACTGATATATTGGCTGGCAACTTACAGTGTTTATGTTACACATTTTACACATTAAATGTATTACTAAAGCAATAATATTAACAATGCAATTACAAAGCTATCTGCAAATGATAGTATGCATTGGTCATTGGTGCTTAAGTAAACGATTTAATGTAACATCCACACTGTGATGCCCCCCACCTCTCCCCAATAAAAGGGAGTCATCCATGTTCCATCTTCACTCCCTTTTATTGACCCATTGTCGATAAATGCTTTAAAAACAGATGTTACTTTTCTCTCCAGCTTATTTCAAATTGATTAAACAATACAGACTTATTGGTTTTGTTCGGACAAGCCGCAAAAATCTGCTTTGTTCTGTTGTTTATTAGTTTTTGTTTTGTTTCTGACTCAAATTTAGTCTGAATAGCAAAAACATAAACAAACCTAAAAAGCCATGTGGTTTGAAATGAGACACCTGTCTGGAGCTGTGAATTTAGAATTATTTTCACTTACTCTTTACTTTTATAGCAAACCGTGTGACATTTACATTGTGGTGAATATTGAATGAGTCTGCATTTTTTGACACGCTATATATTTGCATAAAAAGCTGCTTATGTTCTCTCATGTGCCTCGTGAGTTGAGCGCTGTGGCGTAATGTCATGATAAACGTGAGCTGAGGCTAAATTCTCAGTTTCTATCCTCCTTCCACAATGACAGTGACTCGGTTGTTGTTAATTCTCTTAGCATCATGCTGACACTTATCATCACTATACCAACCAATGTAAATTCACTGGATATTCACCACACTCTGAACAAACGAATCCGATTTCATAATTTCCAAATTCTTAAAAGTCTTAAAAATCAGATTTGAAAACCGAATTAGATTTGTGTGCAGTGTGAACAAAGCCACTATCATTTTTGTGAGCTGCTATTATGAACTGTTTTTGTATGTGTGTGTCTGTCTACATTTTTAGGTAGTATCTAAGCTTTTAAGTTTAAAACAACTAAGTTTGCATTTTTGCTGTTAGTGGTGTTTTAAAATCAGATTTATAGAAGGTTGTTTCCACCACTGAATAAAAATAAAAAAGGTAAGTGCAACTTTTAACCTCGCAATTCAAACTTTTTTCTCAGAATTACAAGATTTTCTCGCAATTGCAAGTTATAATATCAGAATTGCATGATATAGTCACAATTCTGAGAAAAAAGTCAGAATTTCGATTTATAGAAGGTTGTTTCCACCACTGAATAAAAATAAAAAAGGTAAGTGCAACTTTTAACCTGACAATTCTGATTTCTGACAGTTTACATCTCGCAATTCAAACTTTTTTCTCAGAATTACAAGATTTTCTCGCAATTGCAAGTTATAATATCAGAATTGCATGATATAGTCACAATTCTGAGAAAAAAGTCAGAATTTAAAAAAATAAAGTCAGAATTGCAAGAAAAAAGTCAGAATTATAATATTTGTTAGAATTATAATATCCCGCAATTCTGACTTTATGTTTGTGTCTCTCAATTCTGACATTATAGCTTGCAATTGCAAGTATATATCACACAATTCTGAGA